AAAACAAATTGTGTGTTCGCCGCGGCAACGGCCTATCGAAATGCAGGGACTGGCGCCCTCCGCCTGGAAGCTCCTCAACCTGCCATCACGAAGAAGTCGAATTAATGGACGGGGATATATAACCAACAAAGTGGTAAGGGGAAAACACTCACCAGTTAGAACCTTAGGGTCGTAACGCTTTACGAAGGAAGGCCAATCTCAGGTTTCCGCTGCATGGGGTAACAGACGGGCTACCTAATCCCTTATGCCCGCAATAGGGCGGGGCGGATGTCCTATAGCTGCAAACGAGAAACAAACAAACTTTATAGTGAATACAGATGAAGGAAGAATAAAATGAGTGGCGACACTTACGAGTCTCTCCATCGCTCCAGGAACCTGGCGAGGTGAGAAACGATATGTTCAGTTTTGACAAAGAAATACTTGTGCCAAAACTTGCGACTTGCTTGGTCGTCTGTCCTGACCACCAGCCCTTTCGTGCCACGGTGCCTTAAATGCACCATGGTACCTCTATGGAAGCTAGGCAAGAACGGGTGCAAAAGGGGGTGGATAGTAACATTACACTCCGCCAACTCCGCATACTTGGTCAACAGCAGAAGCACCTTAAGAGTATATGGCGAAAGTTGTGCCGGGCAAACTTGGTAGAACCTACAGAACTCTTCCGCTAAGGGGAAAAGGGAAAAAGTGTAGCCAATCACGAAAGGGTACTCATAGAAAGTGCAGTACCCAGGTCTGTGGACCTCTACAAAATCTCCCCCCGCCAGAATCATGTCAACGTGAGCGGGAATGCTATACATTATACGAAGAACGTCAACGTGAACCTACTCTGTCTCAAAAAGTACGGGGGCAAGAGTAGGAGGGGGATCTTTGAGGAAGTCACTTTGAGACATGGGGTATCTCAGCAATAACTCCTCCACCGTAGGGAAACTGTCACCCTCTTCTACCGCTGTATCTTCACCGCCTGAAAGGGGCACCGTGCACAATGGGGTGGACTCAGGAACCCCTTCACAAGAATGATGTGACCTTGGCGTGCTTTCGTTCAAAGAGGTATTAATACAAAAAAGAAAAAGGAGGAAGAAGCTATGAATGAAGAATGTGAGAAGAAAAAGTAGAAGGGTATCAGGGCAAGCTCGGAGAAATAAGGGGGAGTTATTAGGAGTGAAATGGCCAAGAACTTTCGAAAAAACAAATCCTCCTCCTATTTATAGGATTGGGTGGCACCAGAATCGAAGCGAAGGGTCACAGAGTGGCGCTGGAATCGAAGCAACAAGCCATCAACTCCTGCCTCGAAAACATGCGTAATGATGACGCACGTGAAGATGACATCATTTTCCGGTAAAATATATTACCCGATGTCTTGCTAAGCACGCTGACCGTCCCCCATTGGCCATGTCGCCTCGAAGGATTAAATTTCTCCATAGGAACGCATGATGTCCGCTCATCGAGAACGCACCCAGTTGCGACCCCGACAAACGGAGGGACTAACTATATGGGTCCAAATTTGACCAATCACAACCAACAACGAGTACGACGAATGACGGGGTCTCCTTGACTCGATGTCCTGTGGGAGACGACCTTAAGGCAAACAAGAGACTGTTGACCTTTGTAAAAATGTAGGCCCATTGGGGAACATTAGGAATGTTCCTTCGAATATTCCTTGTAACTTGTCTTTTACAACTTAGAAAGGTTTGGCCCCTTGTATATATAGAGAGGAGAATTCTACTTAGGAAGGGGAGGTTTTTCTTGAAAGGATTTCACTGATTCAGATTAATAAAACAATCTTACTATCCATCTTCTCCTGACCCCTCTTTCAATCTAGAGATTATTATACTTGGCTAAGATTTACCCCTTCACTTTTGATTGATTTATCGAAAAGGGTTTTAACATCTTTTGAGTCAAACAGAAAGGTCAATCTTTCACTCTACATGCAAGTTGTAGCTGAGCCAAGATTCGAGGGAGCAGAAACATATATTGGAGCAAAAAGCATATTTTTGCAAGTCGAAAAGTTAAAATGAGAAAACCCACGTTCTTAGCTCTTCCATTAATTGTATTTGAATATAATTACAATAAATGAAAAGGATAAAGGATTGAAAGACTCTGAAGAACAATTTAGACACAAGTAAAAAATCCAGCAAAAGCTATATAGAAGAACTTTATTAAACTAGGGAGAGAACTTGGTAGGAAGTTTTTTCACAACTCATAAACTCTTGAATCTCTCTACATCATAGCTACCACTCTACAATAGAAAATATGTAGTAGCATCCCTATTTATAATACAATAAACCAAATTTGACTAGACTAACAAAACCTATTCCAATATGAACTTTGGTAAACAAATTCTAACTAGACATGAATTAAATAATCTAGTAATTAATACCAAATCCTAGACGACGTAGGATTACTAATTAATATTGATTTAATTTCCAACAGCCTCCCTTAAACCAAGATCTTAAAACTTGAGCATGCCATGAGTAACATCAAACCTTGTAGAAGTCAATTACCTTAGACTCTCTACCAGTTCCCTAAAATATGTTCACGAGTGCCATCTTTATTCAACTTCAATTTATCTTGCATATTGCTCATATATGATTTGTCTTTACTCATCGTAAATACCTTCAAAACATCATCAATATAATTTTTCATTACTTTGAAATCATCTACTTCTCTAGTTGCCTTGTAGTTGGACTTGTACACCCAATTAACTCCAATTGAACATTCAATAGGTTGTAGAGTAATGCCACCAATAGATATATCATCTTGCTCCTTGAAACATGTAATCTTGAACAATGGCACAAAATTTATTTCATCTTAAATATCTATAATCATGTATTGTAGTTCTGGATCCCAAGTTATTTTTGTCTCAATCTTTTGCAGATTATCAGAGATTTTCTCTTGATGAACCATCTTATTTTTTTCATTAATAGGTTCATCTTCAATACTATCAAATAATTTTTCAGGTGAAACACCAACCTATTTTGGACGAACGTCTTTGCAACCAAATCTTCCTTTTTAATAACCGATAAAAAATTTGGCAGATCAATTTGAATATTATTTGACTTTCCTTCTCATTCAATATAATCTCTATCACAACAAAAATTACATGTACCTTCAATACTTTTCTCCTTTGTTTCCGAATTTTGACCTTCTTGATTTATTTTCATCATCTTTGACGTGTCTTCTTTTTCTTTTGGTTGATAATCCTTTTCTTGTGATTCCTCCTCCAATGTCTCATCTTTTTGTTGATTCAGTGATCTCTCATATGTCGCCAATTCATCTTCTAAATCATCAAGTCCGAGAGTGCTAAGATCTTTAGTAGCATCAAGAATAACTTTCTTGTTTCTAAACTTTAAACTTAGAGACTACAATACTTTTTTAACAATTTTAACTTCTTTCAATATTTCTCCATTTATCCTTAGACCATTGACTATTTCTTCAATTCTTGTAAAATATTCTTTCACAAACTGTGTTGGTCTCATGTAAGCCAACTCAAATTGACTCCTAAATTCTTGCAATTTCTCCTTCTTTATGTTTGCAACTTTTCGATATGACTTCACCAAGATTGTCCAAGCCTCCTTTGATGACTTTGCATGTAAATATCTCTCACATACATGCAATTCGACCTTAATGGCAAGATAGTAGCGTGCCTTATAATCTAAATGTCTTTTCTTCTCCAATTGCGTAACTACATCACCCGTCAATGTTGTGCCTTCCAGGGATTCCTCAAATCCTTCATCAATGGTGGACTATAATCCAATATCCTTAAAAAATATTCATCTGTTAATACCAAGTTTCAAAATTACTTGTGCTATCAAACACAAAAATGGGACAATTAGGTAACAGAGTATTCATTTTTTTTGGATCTCACACAGGCTCTAACAGAATTTCACACAAGCTCTAATACCAATTTGAAGGATTGAAAAAACCCGAAAAACAATTTAGGCACAAGAAAAAAATTCAGCAAAAGCTATATAGAAGAAATTTATTAAATTAGGGAGAGAACTTGGTATGAGGCTTTTTTCACAACTCATAAACTCTTGAATCTCTCTACATCATAGCTACCACTCTACAATAGAAAATATGTAGTAGCACCTATAAAACAATAAACCAAATTTGACTAGACTAACAAAACATATTCCAATATGAACTTGGTAAACAAATCCTAACTAGACATGAATTAAATAATCTAGTAATTAATACCAAATCCTAGACGACGAAGGAATACTTATTAATCTTGATATAATTTCCAACAAAAAAGAAATTAAGTTCTATTTCAGGATTTAAATTTAGCTGAATCTCAAAATTTTCTGAACTTCTACCATCGGGGACCCCAATTATATCACTGTAATAGGATTTCGACGGGTACGTAGGCATTATAGAAATAGTTTGGTTTTCTAACTAGCACTTGTAGTCTGACAGAAATGTCGATAGACGATAGGGACGAGGTAATTGTCAGCTTTACAAATTGTTACTCCATTGTTAAGTACGTTATCATTGCATGGGGGAAATTAAAAGGCCGAACGTATTGGCAAGTCTTGTGTACCTTCCTTACATATTCCCTATCTACGTACACTAGGATCTAATCATCACTTCTTAATCAATATTCAAGAATTGTCCTTTCTGCAAAAACCTAGAAAAGAAAAATATACTCCCTCTCATTCAATTTATGCCTTTTTAGTCAATTCAAAAAAAAGGACTATTTTTATATTTGAAAATAATTTATTTTTATGTCACACAAAATATATGTGTCTCATTCACACTATAAGTTTAAAGTAATAGATTCATATAAACTAAAACAGAAAGAATACGTATGTACAAAAAGAAAACACATAAACTTAGAGAAAAAAAGCTAGAAAAGCAAGATCAAAGAATATGAAGCAGAATTAAGCAAATGTCATCAACTCTTGTCCGCAAGGGGACAAGTATTTGAGCATCTAATACAAAATCAGTGTTTAGTTTATATACTAAAAACACAGTTAATTCCTCAACTCTCTAGCATTCTAATATGTTTCTGATGTTGATGATGCATATATAGTTGACACTACTAATTTAAATTTTTTCCATAGGAAAATTTACTACTGAACTTGGAGGGGTGGAGGATCATATCAAGGTTGAAAGAGCTGATCTCTGCATCTGCATTTCCAAGCTAGGAGATAATAGATATCATCATCAGCTTGTCTTTTAGATGGATCTGTATTATAATGGCCCTTGATCTTCTGGCTTGGTGAAATGATTACAGTTGCCTTGCATGGCTGGCAACCCATGCACTTGTTTACGCAACCAGGTGGCCTTGACCCTATCACCATTTTCCTAGCCATACTCACTGCACAAGCACAAATCCAGATAGAAAATTACTCATTGATCGACTACTATATACAGAGTGAAAACAAGATCTTAATTTTATTATCTCTGCATGCAGCATTTAGCCCTATAACAGTAAAAAGAAACAAGTTTCACACCTGATTGAGAAGGATGAAATGCCAGAGACAATAAAAGAACCAATGTAAGTCCAAGTTTCAGATAAAGTTTGCAGTACTTCCTTGATAAAGCCATAGGTTAGCTTGTGATTTTGCTTTTGAGTTTTATGTGAAAACTAATAGCAGCAAAGTTTCTTTTGGATTCAGGAAGATGGGACTTTTCTTTCTATTTTAGATCATGAATATTGCAATATATGTAAGGGGTGGTAATATTTATGGTGAGACAAAGTGGAGAACTGTTTCCGAAGAAGGGACAGTACTCTGATGCCAAAAGCTTCATCACCAATCACTTCACATTTCACTTTGAAATTACACTACTCCTAATTTTCTGCATCTTTCTGGGAAATGCTGCACTTTGGCTTCAGTAGACAGTAGGTATGACTATTTGCGCATCCTGCTTACACCTAACTAACTGCTCCATAAAAGATTGCAGATCCCTCAATAGTACTCAATATTCGTCCTAAAGACTATTGACTCTGAGTATTAATTATCTCATACAAATTAATCAGAGACCATAAACAATATTTCATGTCTCAGAGACAGTTAGGATAAACATAAACAAATCAACTTAAAATTTTGTATGCTACTCCCCTTTCATTTGTCCTGTTTGGGTTTTGCATGCTCATTAAGAAAATTTTCAATTAAAAGAATAATTCGACTAAATTATCATTATTTATTCCTTATGTTCTCAATTGTCACTCTTGCTGTTGCTGCTACAGTGTTAATCTCTCCATATTAATTAGAGAACAGGGTAAAGGTGAACAAAGTTAACTAATCCTTTCTTGATTTCTAAAATATTGACTTTTAGATCAATTGTTATATGTTTAATATAACCATGACAACTAAAAGTAGGATGCATTTTCCAAACCTCGTAACTTAATCTGTTTGACTTAAAAGATAGATTTTAACAAACTTCCTAGGATTTTGAAGCGACGTGCACGTTATTTTCTAGTACTAGCATATATCACATTTCTAGGTTTCCCAACGAAATTAAGGAACTTTTAGGGTATAGTATTATTTTTATGATGGGTCAACCAGTCCATATAATTTGACTGCTTAGTCCTAAGGGTAGTTAAACTCTGACCTTGATCATACCTAACCTGTGTAAATTCCAGGCAAATATAGAAAAAGTAACTTACATGTTGACTTCCATTATTTCTTGTCCGCGCTAGATGATACACACTCAGCTCATATTCTTTATAGGTGGCGTTTAATTTGTTTCAAATGGAAATTTTTGCAATAGAGAAAAACTATTTACTTTTACAAAAACTGAAAACACCCTCGGAGATGTTTTGCGAGATGATTAATATGAAATGCTACAGTATATTATGAATAAAGTTCACGTTTTTTTTTGTCAGAAAGATAACATATATTACTAGTGAATACGTACAGAGAGTTGGGGCCTAACTGACTCCCTATTACAAGCCGTAGTGCTAGATTCAAGCCATAAGTTACTACTACTATTTACAGTTGTCATGGTCATCATATTGGAATTATCATGACAACAAATTACATCATATGATAGTTAGCCATGTTGCCACTATCATTATGCCAAGAATTTTGCTGGCCTGATTGACTCTGATCCATACAGGCCTTGTCTCTTTCAAAAACTGGTGCAACAAAAATGGGAACAGCTTCAAACACTCTTGGCAACCATGCATCTCCAAAATTGTGGCCTACTTTAGCTAGTTGGTTTGCTACCATATTTTGCTCTCACATATTTAACTGTTGGGTTACCTAGTAGGCCCAGATAGTACCTGCATTAGAGAGGGCCAAATTTTCAAAGTAATAATATAATATCCTTTGCATCCACCTCCACCTCAAGAGGTGTGATATTTCTTTCACAATAAAGTTCACGTTAGTCCGCTTTTAGAATTCGAAAAGTTCTCTCTTCTCCCCAAATTAAACTAGAACAAAATTGAAAAATATATTTTTAGCCACTATTCTTTCAATTTTACAGTATATAACCGTAAATTTAATACCATTAACATAACAACTAGTATTAGTACTCGCACGATGCGCTGACACAAATATCAAATTAGAATTTGAGTTATTGGATTTGCCTTAAAATTTAAAACTTCCAGATAACATGTTTCTTTTTATATATATTTTTATTTTATATCCGTAACAATCTAACTCCTTAATTTAGTACTTGTATTTTATTTCGTGGTCAATATTAAATAATACTAAACATATCACGTTTGTGATATGTCTTGTTTGAGCATATTATTTAACAAAATTCTTACTACTACTTTATGTTTCACCGCAAATTCGAATAAGTCTTATCCTTCTACATTTTCACCCAAAACAACTCTTTCTTTAATCTTTGCTTATTGTTATTGCTTTATCTATTACTTAATAATGTTATATTCGTGTGATCTTTTATTAGCTTACCAATTGACTTGATATCTTGCTTATTACCCTTTTGATAAACATATATAAATATAAAAAAATTTATTCCTAAAATTTCATTTATTTTTGTACTTTTATCCTCTTACTTGGAACTTTATTTTCATTTAAATCTTTTAATAAATATTCTCACACTATCTCTATTTTCCTCTTTATACATCATCTTCCCTACTATGAATTTAATTAGTTTTTTACATTAATATTTTACCAATAACAAAATATATAATATCACATTTTATTTTAAGTTATAAGTTTGAATTAGTTTAAAATATTAATAGATAATTTTTTTTTTATTATATTTTAAATCTATTGAATTTTCTTATAATTTTTTTTGTATCACGTGTAATTAAATTTTCTTTCTATTTTAACGTTAGGATACAAATAGACTTTAATTTTCATTCATAAAATTACCCATACGAGATATTTATTTTGTATTTCCTTAGTTTTAGTTTATTATCCAATTTTTAGTTTTTTATCTAGTAAAACTTTGATTTTGTAGTCCTATCCATAGTTTGAGCGTTTCACCATAATTTTAATCTAAATCTCAAGTTCAAATCGTCTTTCACTTTTATTTTTAATATTAAATATTTTTAAACTTTTGATTATTGCTATTAAGTTACCTAATATATAGTATTTTATTTTCTTATGTGGCTTTCATTAGCATGCCTCTTTATATCCTTTAATATTATTATATAAATAGATGCATGATTTTTAATCTTGAAATAAATATTTCTTTTATTTAAAATTAATACCCAAAATTATCAAATTGTTTAAATTTATTAATAATATTTTTAAGCATTATATATTTACTTTATTTTATTTTTTAAACTAATTCTTAGTATAAATAACCTTACATTATCTCTAATTTATTAATATTTTGATTTTTTAAAAATTTTTAATGTATTAAACTTCAATTATGCGGCCTTATCCACATCATGGCCATTTTTTATCATACTTAAAAAAACTTTTTTATATTAAATTTAAATAAGTTTTATCCTTTTTTGTTCTTTATGATAGAAATTTTAATTCTTTTCTCTATTTGTTTCTCATTTTGCTATTGTATATTCAATACTTAATATTATTAACGTTGTCATATACTTTTATTAGTTTACTTGAATTTAATATCCACTTTTATCACATTCATTTTAATATAATACAAATAATAAATAAAAATTATTTCAATAGTAACTTTGACTCTATTGCTCATATTCTTAAATAGTATGAATTTTCTTATCATATTAAAAAAAAGTCCCATCTCAAATTCAAATGTATATCTTATTCTTCTATTTTCTCCATTGGACCACATTTCCAAAAATCATCTTATACTTTCAAACTTAACCTAGCAATTTCAACTCAAATATTAATCGTAAAAACTCTAATTGTTGCAAAAATATTTTCACTATTATTTTAAGAAATATTTATTTATGTATAAAATATTTATTGTCCGTATTGTCAACATTAATATAACCTCATTATATATATATTGTTCCTACCATAATTGAATTACACACAAAATTTAATTAAAGATACCTATAGTAATGTATATTGTTCACAAATAAGGTCAGATATAAAGCTTGTACTAAATAAAAAATTATTATTCCAACTTAAAATTAATGTGTAAGATACAAAATAAAAATTTAATTAATTCTTTCTCAAAAAAGGATACCTACCATAACTGAATTATACACAACATTTTAATTAAAGATACTTGCAGTAATGTATATTGCACCCAAATAAGGTCAGATACAAAGTTTGTACTAAATAAAGAATTAGTATTTCAACTTAAAATTAATGTGTAAGATACAAAACGAAAATTTAATTGATTCTTTCTCAAAAAAGGATACCTACCATAACTGAATTATGCATAAAATTTTAATTAAAGATACCTACAGTAATGTATATTGTACCAAAATAAGGTCAGTTATAAAGCTTGATCAATTAATTAAAATTCGTCCCTACCATAATTTATTTCGTCCCTACCATAATTATACAAAAAAATATTAACTAAATTATACTACTAATAGAGATTTGTATCATAATTAAAAAATAATTCTTATTGAACTACTACTTCCATTAATTATGTTTTCATTTTTAATTCAAATTTTTAATATTGTCTTAAAGTTGCCATGTGGCTTTTTTTAGCTTGCCACTTGGCTTAACCTCATGCTTCACTACTCTCCTTTTAATATAACTAGTATTAGTACCCGCGCGATGCGCGGACACAAATAACAAATTATAATTTGAGTTATTGAAATTACCTTAAAATTTAAAACTTAATAATGTTATATTCATGTGATCTTTTATTAGCTTACCAATTGACTTGATATCTTGCTTATTACCCTTTTGATAAACATATATAAATACAAAAAACATTTATTCCTAAAATTTAATTTATTTTTGTACTTTTATCCTCTTACTTGGAACTCTTTTTTCATTTAAATCTTTCAATAATATCTTTGAGTATTATTTAATTATTTAATATACTTATACTTAATTAATTCCAAGTATAAATATTCTCACAACATCTCTATTTTCCTCTTTATACATCCTTTTCCTACTATGAATTTTAATTAGTTTTTTTACAATAATATTTTACCAATAAACAAAATATATAATATCACATTTTATTTTAAGTTATTACTTTGGATTAGTTTAAAATATTAATAGATACGTTTTTTATTATTATATTTTAAATCTATTGAATTTTCTTATAATTGATTTTTGAATCACGTATAATT